AGCAGCAGCAAGAGCAGCAGCAGCAGCAAGAGCAGCAGCAGCAGCAGCAGCAGCAGCAGCAGCAGCAGCAGGAGACAGGGCTTTGTCTTTTTGTCGTCTTTTGGGGCTGCATGCAAAATTCTTTGCTCCCTTAGGGAGGGACTGTCTGTCCCCTTTTGTCTCCTTTCTCCTTTGCTGCAGTTGCTGCTGCTGCTGCTGCAGTTGCTGCTGCTGCTGCAGCAGCTGCAGCAGCAGCTGCTGCTGCTGCTGCTGCAGTTGCTGCTCTGCAGTGGTTGCAGCAATAGGCTGGTTATTTTTTTGTGCTGGTTAAGACAGAGACGCTCACTTCAACACACAACTGCCTATACACCCCACGAGCTGCCTATACACCCCACAAGCTGCCTATACACCCCACAAGCTGCCTATACACCCCACAAGCTGCCTATACACCCCAGAGGCTGCTTATAGACTCCAGAAGCTGCCTATACACCCCACGAGCTGCCGGTACACCCCATGAGCTGCCTATACACCCTGCAAGCTGCCTAGACACCCCAGAGGCTGCTTATAGACTCCACAAGATGCCTAGACACCCCATGAGCTGCCTATACACCCCACGAGCTGCCTATACACCCCACGAGCTGCCTATACACCCCACGAGCTGCCTATACACCCCACAAGCTGCCTATACACCCCATGAGCTGCCTATACACCCCACGAGCTGGCGATACACCCCACGAGCTGCCTATACACCCCAGAGGCTGCTTATAGACTCCAGAAGCTGCATATACACCCCACGAGATGCCGATACACCCCATGAGCTGCCTATACACCCCACGATATGCCGATACACCCCATGAGCTGCGTAGACACCCCACATGCTGCCTATACACCCATGAGCTGCCTAGACACTCCACAAGCTGCCTAGACACCCCATGAGCTGCTTAGACACCTCAGGAGCTGCCGATACACCCCACAAACTGCCTAGACACCCGACAAGCTGCATATACACCCCACAAGCTGGGTAGACACCCCACAAGCTGCCTATACACCCCACAAGCTGCGTAGACACCTCAGAGACTGCTTATAGACTCCGGAAGCTGCATATACACCCCACAAGCTGCCTGTACACCTCAGGAGCTGCCTAGACAACCGAACAGCTGC